CAAACCACAGTAGTCTCTGTTTTCCAACGAACCTGACATAGCCTTGCTCCTGGGCATGACAATGCTGGAAGGAACTGCACACTTGTGCAGGGCGTGGTTTTCTGTGGCCAGACTTACCAATCAGAGGAGCAAGGCCCGCGGTCACTGGTGCCAAGTAACACTGCATTTCTGTCTGTCTGCATTCATGCCACTACACTATTAATTTGGTACTTTTTAAAAAGAATATGAGATTGGTTTTTAAATGAAGCAAGATGATAGCACTCTAATACAAATCCACAAATGGATAAATTATTAATCCCATTAGTTACGAACTTTAAAGTACTTATCCACGCACGAGACAATTATCAGGATTCAATGGATAATACAATTTTCAAAAACCTGTGCCAAATGTGTATATAAAACAAACTCAGGAAATAAACAGCTAAATACTAGAGGCCCAATGCATAGAATCCTGGGGATCGGCCCTAAACCAGCAGTCGGATATCCCTCTCAAAATCTGGGACCACTGGCTCCTAACTGCTCACCTGCCTGCCTGCTGGATAGCTCCTAACTGCACCCTGCTGGCCTGGTCACTCCCAATTGCCCCCCTGCCAGCCTAGTTGCCCCCAAATTGGCCTGGTTGCCCCTTATTGGCCCCCCTGCTGGCCTGGTCACCCTTAACTGTCCCCCCCGCCCCCTGCCAGCCTGGTCGCTCCCAACTGCCCCCCCCCCACCTGGCCTGGTCACTCCTCACTGCCCCTTTCTACTGGCCTGGTTGCTTCTCAATGTCCCCCCGCTGCCAGCCTGGTCACCCCCAATTGCCCCCCTTTTGGGCCTAGTAGCCCCGCACAGCCTGTTCGGTCCTTTGGTCACCCTTCACTAACTCCCCTGCTGACTTGGTTGCCCCATGCAGCCTGCTGTTCCATCATTTGGTCGCCCCTCACTAACCCCCTGCCGGCCTGGTTACCCCACACAGCCTGCTGCTCAATTGTTTGGTCGTCCCTCACTAACCCTCCTGCCGGCCTGCTCACCCCCTGCAGCCTGTTCAGTTGTCCCTTCTGTTGTGATGGTCACTTAGGCTCATATATATATATATATATATATATATATATATATATATATATATATATAATCTATATAAAATATAGATAAACAGTGCCCTAGTTAGCTCCCAAAGACTTCCTATAAAAAAAAAAAACTAAAGTGGATGCAGGTAACTGCAATCCTATGTAACTCAAGTTTCTAAGAGAATCCATTTGATGATACATTCAAATAGTCATGGAACTCACACAGTTTGTGTTGTCAACAGTGCATATCTAGACAGCCAGACTAATATTTAAGTAGTCAAAATGAAGGCACAGGCTCAGTGCTTTGCAATAACATTAATGGTACTCCCCCTGTTAAACAAGAAGGCTTTTTTATTAGATTGTTTCCTTATCCTTTACATAAATTAATAAAAACTTTTGTTCTAAGTAGTATTAATGACCTAACACTGAAAAGTTTTTAATTCCCACATTATCGGCCCATTGGGTTTCAAATATACTGATTACTATGAAAACAGCCTCATATTTCATTCAAGCTACCGCTGAGAAGAACATAGACAGGAGCATAAAAGGAGTAATTTGTAATTTAAATAGACACTTAAAATCATACTTTAAAAATTAAAACAATGTTGCATTCTGCAAAAGTATATTACTTTGTTAAAGCAAAGTTCTCTTTAATAGTTGTACTAGCCCTAACTGGCTTGGCGCAGAGGACAGAGCATCAGCCTGGGGACTGAGGGGTCGCAGGTTCGATTCCGGTCAAGGGCACATGCCCAGGTTGTAGGCTTGATCCCAAGAGTCAATCAATGACTTTCTCTCATCATTTATATTTTTATCTCTCTCTCCCTCTCCTCTCCACCCTGAAATCAATAAAAAATATATTTTAAAAACACAGTTGCACTAAAGTGCTATCCAAAAAGGCTGAGAATGCCAGGCACGTAGTATATGGTCTGAAATGGTTAAAAATAACCTTCACCTAGAATGGGCTCACAATTAGTTGGGGCTTTGGCCTGAGCAAGAAAGCAATCACATCACACTATTATACTTTATATACATAAAGTTAAGTCAAGCCAGGTGTGGCTAACACAGCAGTGTTCGTACTATTATTTCAAGAAAGCACAACTTCCAGATCCATCAAAAATTACAGAAAAAGGTGAGTGAGCTAACATATATCAGCAAAGGTGTGTGGCATTTTTTTCAGATATAAAAAATAATATAGTAATATAGGTCAGTATCTTCATTTAAGCTACCAATTACTATAAAGGCAAAGGGGAAAATGAAACACTTTTGGAAAATGTGAATCCAACAGGCTGGTTTTGAAAATATGTACTTAATAACATATCTATCTTTTCCCACCATTTGTATCCTGTAAAGTAGCCTGTCAGGATTATGGATCCTGCCTGAGAATTCTGTAAACCCCTGTCTGAACAGTTAAAAATAACCTTCACCTAGAATGGGCTCACAATTAGTTGGGGCTTTGGTCTGAGCAAGAAAGTAATCACATCACATTATTATATTTTATATACATAAAGTTAAGTCAAGCCAATTCTGTAACTTTGCTGAATTCATTTATTAGATCTAGTAGTTAATGTATACTGATATATACTGATGTATACTGATGGCTCTCATCATTAAATAAGATAGTTAACTAAACACAAAATGGAAAACACAAAATGATTCCCAAACTAATATATGAATCTATTCTTATTCTTACAAATTAGCATGGAAATTAATATGATTTATACACAAATATTTAATTTTACTAAAGGATTTATTCGGACAGTTCACATAACTTTTTAGTTAATATGGAGTCAATAATGTATATATGCCTTTATATATGAAAAATTTATATATAAATGCGCTCAAGGGACAAAAGCTAAAAGCATTTTCCTTAAAATCTGGAGCAAAAGAAGGATGTCTGCTTTTACCACATTTATTTAGCATAGTACTGGAAGTTCTAGCCACAGTGGAAAGACAAGAAGAAATAAAAGGCATCCAAATTAGAAAGGAGGAAGTAAAACTGTCATTATTTGAATATGATATAATACTGTATATAGAAAACCCTAAAGACGCCACCAAAAACTTATTATTAGATCTAATAAGTGAATTCAGCAAAGTTACAGAACACAAACTCAAGACCCAGAATCAATTGAATTTTTATACACTAATAATGAACAATCAGAAAGAGAAACTAAGAAAACAACCCCATTTACTCTTTCAACAACAATAAAAATAAGGTACCTAGGAATAAACCTATAGCCAAGGAGATAAAAGACCTGTACTTTGAAAACTATTGGACATTGAAGAAATAAATTTAAGGAAGATACAAATACATGGAAGCATATATCATGTTCATGGATGGATTGGAAGAATTAACATCATTATAATGTTCATGCTACCAAAAGCAATCTATAGATTCAATGTAACTTGCATTAAAATAGCAAGAGCATATTTCGCAGATCTAGAAGAAAATATTCCAAAAATGTATATGGAACCAAAAAGACTCAAAATAGCCACAACAATCTTAAGAAAGAAGAACAAAGTAAGAGGGATCATAATAACATATATCAAACTATACTACAAGGCCACTATAATCAAAACAGCCTGGTACTGGCATAAGAACATATAGACCAATGGAACAACACAGAGAACCCAGAAATCCACCCAAGCCATTACACTCAATTAATACTTGACAAAGGAGGCAAGAGCATACAATAAAGTAAAGACAGTTTCTTTGATAAATGGTATTGGGAAAAATGGACAGGCACATGCAAAAAAATGAAACTACACCATCATCTTACTCCATACCCAAAAATAAACTAAAAATGCATAAAAAAAAGTCTTAAATATGTCACAAAACCATAAAATCTCAGATGTCCCTTACAGTGATATTTTTGCTGATATGTCTCCGAGGGTAAGGGAAACTTAGGAAAAAATAAACAAATGAGACTACATCAAGATAAAAAGCTTCTTCACAGCAAAAGAAATCATTAAAAAAATGAAAAGATTACCCACTGTATAGGAGAACATATGCACCAATGTACATCTGATAAGGGGTTAATGTCAAAAATATATAAAGAACTTTCACAACTCAACACCAGGAAGACAAACAATCCAATAAAAAATGGGCAATGGATCTGAATAGACAGCTCTCCAAAGAGGGCATACACATGGCCAACAGACATATGAAAAATTGCTAATGGTCACTAATCATCCAAGAGATGCAAACTAAAACTACAACAAGATATCACCTCATACCTGTCAGGTATGTCTATTATCAATAAATCAACAAACAAGTGCTGGAAAGGATGTGGAGAAAAGGGAACACTAGTGCACTGCTGGTGGGAATGCAGACTGGTGCAGCCACTGTGGAAAGAGAGTATGGAGCTTCCTCAAAAAATTAAAAAGGGAACTGCTTTTGACCTAGTGATTCCATTTCTTGAGAATGCATCCTAAGAATCCCAAAATACCAATCAGAGAGAATGTATATACCTCTATGTTCATAGCAGAATTATTTACAAGATATGGAAACAACCAAGTGCCCATCAGCAGATGAGTGGATAAAAAGCAGTGGTACTAATATGTGGACTCTAATATGCTAATTAGACTGACATCCTTCCAGATGACCTTCCAGATGAAGCCTAGCTATAGGGGCAGATGCAAGCCGCCATGCCTTCAAAAGACCGGATGGATTGTGGTGGGTGGGGCTTCCCTCTGGGGGCCAGCAGGCACCTGGGATCTGAGCTTCCCTCAAGCCCCAGCTTCATCCCAGAAGAACGTCTGGAATGAAGTCTGGACCAAGTAGCATATTACCCTTTTATTATTATAGATTATATTGCTATAAAAAATAAAATGTATTTTTTGTTATACATATAATACCACTATATAACTTAAAGATATTAAATAATAGTAAAATATAATTTCAAAATAAAACCACTGTGTGGTTTTAAAATTCATTTAAGTACAAAATCCACATACCTGAACCAACCTCTTTTTCCTCTTCTTCAATGTTGTTTTTGATGCTATCATATTCTTCATCAATGGTCTGATTGCCTCTCATCTGAGACAAAATTCTACGAGCCTTCTGAGTCTGTCCTTTCTGAATGAGCCATCGTGGGCTTTCAGGCAAAAAGAGGAAGCCAAAAAACTGTATGACTGCTGGAATCACTGCAAGTCCCAACATGTACCTGCAATAAAAAACCCACATAGTACTGTAAAGCTTGGTCTTATTAGCACCACATTGGGAACAGTATATAATATGAAAATAGTGATAATTATTTTCTTTTTATTATATCTATGCAAAACCAGAAAAAATAATATCTTTATGCTTTAATGAGAAAATGAAAAACGAGGAAAGTCTGGCTCTTCTCTCATACAAATTACAGTGAAAAAGAATGGGCAAAAGTCACAAAGATTGTGTATATGCATTTTGACCCCAACACATCATGCAACAAAACACCATATTCACCATCCTTACCCAATACTAAGATATAAAGATTTGTATTCTACAATATAAAATGGGATTAAGACAAAACTCTCTACTCGTTTAAAAGATATACTTTTCAATAAAAATGCCCAAATTGATTTATTTAGTTATTTCTGCTCTGTGAATGATTAGTTATGATTTCATTTTGTCATCGAGCATCATGTTGTCCCTCATTAAGGAGTAGAAGCTCATAGGGAAAAAAAGATGGTTGGAAGCCAATAATCAGTATTAAAATGAAGAAATGCAAAAAAAAAAAAAAAAAAATCCTGCTCATGTTGTTTTAAGCTACATGTCATCTTTTTCAAATCCCTGTCCTTAATGGCTGGCACAGTTCTATGTAGGAAATAAAATACAGTTTTAAATCCATCAGAAAAATAACAAAAATAAGAACATGAGTCCATCGATATCAAAGCTCTCTCCAAGTTATTCTGACCATCAGACCGATCTCCTGAACTGAGGGGTTAGGTTAGGTCAACTTCAAGGTCTCTCTCACATGAAAACGTCTGTGAATCTAGGACACCGGGCTGTATTCAGATAATCCAATTTCCCTGGGTAGGTTCCCCGGCAGATTCATAATGGGGGAGCTCAGAAGACCAAGTCTAATTACCTAACCATCATGCTTACCGGGTATCGCCTGACTCTATACCCTTTTCAAAGCCAATCTGGCTTCTAAGCTACGTTAAACCCAAAGCACGGCCACCTTGGAGGCCCCAGATATATATCTTGTGGAGAAGTCCATCACTTTTTAAGCAATTTCATTTTAATTCATACACAGCGCAGAAAAGGTACAATTGTCACATTATGTTAGGAACAACTCCTACTCCGAACAGTAGCTCAAACCACATACGGAAACAGCAAAATTAACCAAGATTCGGAAAGTAAACAAAGCATTTATGAATGACTGATAAGTGAATCACTTGGCCTCTAGTATGAAAAGAAATCCTATTAGCAGTGTTTTATATTTTAAGGCATGGGCTGTGATATTTACTGAATCACTCCTCCTTCCTCTGCCCACCCTCGAACACAGTGTCTTAACCTCAATTTTTGTCCCTGTGCCTTGTACCGTAATAAATTATTTACCTGTCCCACCTGATTGCATATTTTACTTTGTATTCAGCTCCGCACCTAATCAGGTATCTTGAACACAGTAAAAACTCAGTGAATGTTTTACAAAATGATACAAAAGCAGTTTGTAACTCATTTTATACAGTTTATATATCTCAACTTCCTATATTAACTAAACAGAAAATAACTGGGCTTCACACGCACATAGCAATCTCTTCTGGACCATGGAGCTCTGTAAACTTACTTGCACAGTAATCCCTTCCCAGGAAACCATTTGTTATTCTAGAGACGGTGAGACCTTCCCTTCTGAAGATGGCTCATCTAAAAAAGGCTTCAACTAAGAATCTTCAGATGAGAGTAAGAGAGATCAGCTTCAACAAATGCATACGTATGGCCTCTTCCCCTTAAAATGTTAACTTGGTATACCAAATCTGCCACTTAAACATAGCTTTTATTGCTGTTAGACAGCTATTTTCAAAAGGTGTGCCTCAAGCATTTTTAAAACATACAATTACCTGACTATTTAGTCGGGGGCACTGACTTCTTTTCCTTAATATTATCAAACTGAAAAAAAATGACAACAGCCAACACAACAATAGCCATCCTGTGTGAATGAATCAAATTATACTTTTCTTTCTTTTTTTTTTCTTTTTTTGGATCAGCAAAATGTATACTTTTGGTGTACTGCAGAAGTGTAGTAATTAGTTTGTGTGTGCCATGAGATAAAAAAAGGTTGAAAATCACTGCGGGAAAGGAATGAAATTTCTATTTGGTTGTAATCCCTTAAAGAAAAGGCTATACAAAATTGCACTGCCAATTATTTAAAAGAAAAGCAATAAAAAGGTAAACACCAAATATACTGGATTATGAAATTCTAAAAGTCCTAAAAATGAAAGCCTGTATGCTTTGTTTCTCTGCCCCTTTTACAATATTTTCTTCTGTCCTCCAAACTCCCATCGGTGATAAATTCAAGGAGCACTTGAAATGAATATAGAAGTTGAATCATTTTCAGGCCCAAAGACGCTCACACATAGCACTTTTACTACTCACTATTAAAACCTAGAACACAGTATTTTTAAAACCAAAAAGAAAAAAAACAAAGGAAAAGACAAAAAGTAAAGAGAAATGCAAACATACATATTAGCTAGCCTATGTTTTGTTTTGTTTTGTTTTGTTTTGTTTTGTTTTGAATCCTCAAATTTGCTTTTTAAGAGGAAGGGGAGAAGAGAGAAAAATATCAATCAGCCGCCTCCAGGAACTGAACCTGCAAACTAGGTGCACCAAAATCTTTCAGTGTATAGGATAACATTCTAATCTATCGATACTAATCCACCCAGCCAGGGCTAGCCTGTGTTGTTTTACATGTGTGTGTGTTTTAAATTGTAGACAGTATTACAGATGTTCTCCCTCCTTTGCCTACCTTCAGCCTCTGCCCTTGCCCTTACCCTGCCCCTCCTAGGCCTATACCACATTACTTACTGTGTATGTCCATGGACTATGGATAGATGCATAATTTATGTTTCTTAAGCAAGCTACAGAAGACAGAATCGTTTAGCTCTTCTGCATTCGAAATCTGTTAAGTGTCAAGAGTCTAGGTTTGAAATTTACAATTCCATTCGCTAATGCTAGGATGGGGAAAAGGAACTTGCACCTTGCTGCCAATCTTTAAGGATTTTAAGGCCTGATTCCAGACTACTCAAGATAAAACATGTTTTATGCCTTTACATCCTAATGTTTCTAAAGAAACATATTTTTACTGTATTTTGATTACCTTTCACGGTAAAGATATTTTTGGTAGGGCACCTGATATATTACCCCAAACACAACAAACATGCTCCTAAAGACATTTGATAGGAAAACATTTCCCCATTGCTTTGAAAAGACCAAATAGGATGGGTAGGGGAAAGGGGGTGGCTGTGGTTTGAGAGACCAGAGGAACACACGTAGGTCACACTTCAGCTTTGGGCATTCTAACCACAAACCCTATCCAAATTATTTAACATTTGAATGAACAGGCAATAGTGTTTATTTCATAGGACATCTAGGTAATTAGGTGAAATCACTCAGTATCTAAATTGGAGAAGATGCTCAGCAAAAAATGTTTTCACCTCCCTGACTTAATTCAGTGCAACTTGTCTATCTCGCCTCTACCATGCACTCAGACTTTTGATAGGTAGAACTAACCAATCTTTCTTGAGGAAAAACTATCCCTCTGATGATGTGCAGATTGCAGATAAATAAGAGTTTGCTTTGCTGTAGCATTGATGAGAACTTTATCATGCCACCGAAAGAGTGGAACTCTACGGACTTAGTTAAGGCAGTATTAGGGACTCATCACCAGTCCCCTAAATCCAAGGAACTCAGGGCCAGATGAAGGACAGTGCATATACTGACATAACAAAGAGTACACTGATAAACCAGGGCAGTCACTGGCCAAGCAAACAAGCAGTCCCCAACTGATATGGGGGATCTCATTATTATTAAATCAATAGCTCTAAACCCTGGTTTCACATTACAATCACCCAGAGAGCTTTTAAAACACAGTAATATCCAGGCTCCACCCAATGAGGAATTTTGATTAATTGGCTGGAGCTTCAGTCCCACAGTCCTCTATTTTATTCAAAGCTCGGCGGGGGGGGGGGGGGGTCAAGGACTGCTAATGTGCACTCAGGCCTGAGACCTGAGTGTTTAGAACACCCATGGGACGAAAGTGACCAATAAGCATTCAAAGTCCACACCTTAGGCAAAAGCCATTTGCCTCCAGGAGGCGAAAGAGCACTCCAAGCTGACAAGAAGGGGAAACAGTTTGGCTGTAGTAAAAATACCACTGAGACTAGCAATGAAATTAACACTTTACAGTACAATGAGGGTATTTAGCAGTCTTCTCTAACACCCAATAGGGTCATAATAAACTGAAAACAAAATCAAATAACAAACCTGTCTCTGTACTTCCAATAGCTTTATTCCCACCCTCTGTCTTCTAGCTAACACCTGTTTCTATCTGTTATTGATTTATAAATCATGTTCATGCTTGCCCGTCCTGAATAGCTCAAATAAATTAGAAGAGTACAAATATTAAGATCCTATTTTTACTCTTCAAAACTCTACAGTTTCAAATTGGCATCCTCTCACTTGTTAACTATAAAATAAACTCTAGCCGAAACCAGTTTGGCTCAGTGGATAGAGCATCGGCCTGCGGACTGAAAGGTCCCAGGTTCAATTCCGGTCAAGGGCATGTACCTTGGTTGCAGGCACATCCCCAGTAGAGAGTATGCAAGAGGCAGCTGATCAATGTTTCTCTCTCATCGATGTTTCTAACTCTCTATCCTCTCTCTTCTTCTCTGTAAAAATCAATAAAATATATATTTTTTTAAAAATTAAAAATAAATAAATAAATAAAACAAAATAAACTCTAAACCTTTCCCCTCCCCCAAAAAAAACAGTTTACTGAAAATGAAAAAGTCTACAATTAGAATCAGTTACCTAAAGAATAAATACTTTGTTTGCTTGGAAAGCTAAAGCTATCTGTTCTGTGTTCTTTCTGAGCTGTATACCCAGAAACAATTTCTGAATGTATATTAAGTACCAAACTCCAAGCTAATCATTGAGCATCATGAATAAACGTAATCAAAGATA